TGGTAAAAAGAGTTGGAAAGAAATGATACAAACATCAGTAAAGAAATGACGCAAGCACAGGAGAATAGCAAGATATTGACAGTATAAGACGTTATTTCACCTTTATATTAATATAATTGGAAATTATTTTCATATACATATATGCATGAGTAGTGATGTATTTGCATGTGTGTGTATGTTATGTATGAGTTCACACTTTATGTATATATGTGTACACATAATGTGCAGGCTATAAATACATGTAATACACATACAGATGTAAATTGCTAAGAAAATACTAAATAACACCTCTAGATCTGGAAAAACTGGAAAATTTTAATAAAACTATGCTTCTTGAAAATCTCTGCTTCAGGAAGCTTTTCTAAAAAATTCTTTGAAAGAGAAAATTCAAAATTGTTGCAGTACTTAGGAAGATGTGGAATTAATTGTTAATTATTTTATAAACCTTTGTAGCCGCCAAATATGATAATCTCCCATACCTACATACCAGTATCACTTATAAATATATGTAAACATTTCCTAAATGAATGATGTCAGTCCCAGCAGAACCTTACCTTAGTAGCACCACATCTGAAATGTGGTCAGAGAAACCCACTCTTTCCCCTTAACCTCCTTGGAAGTTCTGCAGTTTGGAGTGCTGAAGATGAAGCCCTGAGCGTGCTGAACCAGTTGCTCAGCCCTGTCTCCCCTACAGCACAGCCCCCTCCTCTCCTTCCTGAGGGGCCCCAAGTCTGAGCTCACCCAAATCTCCAGCTGGACACCCTGGGGCATCAGTGAGTACTTCAAACTCCCCACCGCCTCTCAACAAAGACTTGATTATAATAGTAGCAAAGCATCAACTGAATATTGCGGCATAATATCAACTAAAGAGATGAAATAGCTGATGCTTTACTAAGTTTGGAGAAAAATCATAAAACTGAAAAAGGCAATTTATGAAAATATCAACAGGAATTTTCCTGAAAGTTTGATGTCATGCTTCTAAAGTTGATCTGGATGAATGATGCACTGTTGGGTGGGGTGTGCTGACATCTGGGTGCGGGCTCTGGAGTAGGGTGAGCTACAGAGGACGACTAGACAGCAGTCTCTAGGAAAAAACGCACCCAACCCACACAAAAGCCAGTAACGGACATGTGGGTGCTGCACATGGCTAAGCAAGAATTCTCATGTATAAAGACAAGAAAATTGCAGCATAGACTTAAATAATAAGTTTCAATGCACACTCTTTAGACAAAGTGGCTCAAAACTGAAGTATAAGAAATAAATACAATTTTTATGAAAACTTGTGTAGGGTTTGGAGCTCTTTACTAAAGACACATTTTGCAGGCAGACAGAAGCAAGCTTGGAGAATCATATTTAAGATTTTCAGTGCGAGGAAGCAGACAGCATACAGTCAGTGGGAGAGCAAGATGTTTGGTAATATTTATCAGAGGTATTTGAAAAATATCTATGTTGTTGCCACTTTCATGAGCTTATTCTAAGTAGTTGAATAGTATGAAGGTGTGAGCATGTGCGAAGATGTTAGATGAGTCAGTGGCATTTACAGGGCATGGAACTGGAAACACTGGCCACGATGAACACGCCAGGCTGACTGGATTACATAGCACTCACACTCCTCCTGCCTTCATAACAACACGGGGCTTTGCTGTCACTCAAACATGGGCACAGTACAGGCGCACTCAGGCACGCAGCCCGTCTGGCCTCACACGCTGTGACCCGAGATGGACAAGAATGAGCCCAAGGGAGGAGTGAGGCCAAGGGCTCCACTGAGCGGAGCGGGGGCTGGGTGTGCGCGGTTGGGATGAGCAGAGCATCCCAGCGCCTGCCGGGCTCACCCCGCACTGACACTGCACGTTCCTGACCTTCTGGGACCTCACCCTCGCTGGGTAGCGGAGTCCAGCAGAGCCGCCTCCCTCCCTCCCCGTGGGACTCTGACCTCTGTCCCAACATCCACTCCGCAGGGCTCTGCGGTCTTTCTTGCTCTGTGCTCCCAGCTCCCCATAAGCTGTGAGCCCTGCGAGGTGGACTCTGGTCCTTGTCCCCAGGGCCATCAGCACAGTCCACGTGTCCCCTGCTTCTCCTGGAACTGAGTGACAGCCTCACACCCCATACCTGAAGGGCTCCACCAGAGCACAAAGACACAACAGCATGATTTCCGCTGAGAGCACTGTGCTGAGGCGTAACTGAGGACCCCTGAGCTGGTGCACGAGGAGCCGGACAAGGAGGGAAGCTACCGAGGCCCAGTGATGGCGGCTGCCTGCACCCTTCTCACGTGAGCTGCCGGGCGTCGTCTGAGCGCCCACATCTGCACCTGCAGTGAGAGCGGCCCGTGCTCCAGCCCTGCCTCCCGAGGGTCCAAAATGGGTCACAAAGAGCAGTAAATAAGATCAATTCATGAAGTATCCACTGGCTCTGTCCCGGCGTTGGCAGGAGAATGTGCCAATTGCCATCCCAGTCCAAACACTGTGACTGGAGAGAACGCGATTGTTTTAAATGAGTGAGTGGATATTTTGTAGCTGAAGCAGCAGAAAATGTTTGTCTTCTTCTCACAGTTCTGGGCTTACTTATGTGCAACTGCATGTCATTGTGAATATCCCACCTTTGCTTGAAAATTGTGTCTAAGTGTCCTAAAGGAACGACTTGGCTGTATTCAGACATGGCGCAATACTACTAGCCTAGTGCTTTAGGGCTGAGAGTGAGGCTTCTGTCTGGACTTCTTGGTTTTTGAAACTCAGACAATCTAGTTTGTCTCTGGCTCTTGAATTGCGCTTCCTCCATCTCCACCCCAGTGTTCTTGAGGTAAGGCATCATCACGCCTCGCCACACCACTGCATGTCCTGCTTCCCAGTCAGGCCCGCTTAATTATTTTCTCATTTTACCACAGTCCCTATAACGGGCCAAGATTGTAGGGTCTGTTACAGTAAGCGCAGATCCCCTGACTTGTCTGGATAGAGCTGCTCCGGATTCACCCCAGCATCACCTGCTTGCACAGTGCCTACCGGGCTGAGCGGTGTCCTCACCCCAGCACGAAGGTGGGAGCTGCCTACATGGTCCCTCGCGGGTGCAGTGTAGCCAGGGAGGAACACTAGTTAGAGGCAGAATTGTTCACAGAAAACTTCACAGGAGGCAAAATCTCAGGACCTGAAGCTGGAGGGGCATCTCTGCTGCCCCAGTCTTGTCTCCACCTGAGCTTCTTCCTTCCCCTGAGAGAGGAGAGGGGTCCAGGCCGGAAGGCCTGCATTGTCACAGCTGGAGCACTCAGGTCTGTGAGGGGGACACTCACCTGCGGTCCTGGGGTCCCGCCTTCCATCCTGCACGCACTGCAGGGCACACAGCGGCAGGGCGCCCAGAGAGAGGTCTAGATGACCTCTGTGATCGGCGTCAAGGCCGTCCCCAGCTCTGAGGGATCCAGGGAGAGGCACTGGACTGCTCCAGTGGATGCTGAGCGCCTCCCTCAGAGTCAGCTGTCAGGAAAGAGTGGCTCTGTCCAGGGCTTAGCTGTCTTCTCCTCAGTTCTACTTAAGAGCTTCAGAGCGACTGCTTACGAGGTGTTTCATCATGGGCAGCCTCATGCTTATTGTTACTCCCGAGATTACGTTAGCAGTACTGGAAAACTGCCAAGGGAAGGCAAGTTTTCCATGTGGTCATTTAATTTCTCACCTTAGCAAAGGTCATGCGATCGAACCCATGCCCTTTCCTCTCTGGGAAGCAGTGTCCCAATGGTCATCACTGAGTACCACTGAAAAGGCTGTGTTCACAAATTCACTGAAGCCACGGAACACTCCGCAAAGAAAACCCAGCAGCAGCTTTGCTGAAGAGCTTACTTCAGGGAAAATTTAATGGAGGAAAATGTTGCTGTGAGGTACTTTTTAAGGCATGATCAGAGATCAAATTGATGAGAAAGCGCTTTACCTGGACGGAGTGCCGTTAGCATACAAAGGACACACCACTTTTCTCTGGAAAATTAAGACTTTGCTTTATTTGTAAAGCCAACAACTGATTTTGGAAAAATGAAAACATGTTAAAAATACATATCCCATTTCTCTAATACATACAAAAAAAGGAAAAATGTGACCATCAAGTGGAAAGCTTCGCTATTCTCGAGTTTTCTCCTAGAACTGTCAGACTCGGTGGTCTGGGATTAATTCTTCCTGTGATTCCCTGCAACTGTAACTTTTAAAGGTGATTTAAATTATTGATACAAGACCACTTCACCACTCGATGATCCAGTGTCATGTTTTGTTGTATGTCTTTATGTGTGGATGAAAATTAAATTAAATTAGGGTATATTACTGATTGTGTTTGCAGTATTCTTCCACCCCATAATGCATCACAAGCAGCTTCAGAGTTCTTCAGTTTGTTCTGTGAGCCCATTTGGCAGAGGCAGTAATACCTTGGCCAATGTGATGGGCTTCGGAGACCAGGTCGTCCTCCCCACTAGATTACTACAATCCTTTCATGCTGAGGTCCAGCTCTTCTGGGCACTCATACAGGAAGCAGTTACCTTCACAACTCAGAGATGTCTACCAATAGGAATTTTCCCTATACGTCCATGTCTCCATTTTCCAAAAATACTGCTTCCAATATCTTGAAAATGCTGACAACTCAATGGCCACGGGCCACGAATATACAAATGATCACAGATCTGGCTCTTCTGCGCCCCCCCCCCCAGATTGTACAAATCAGTGTGAGTCCACAATTTCTAGCCAGTTGGAGGCATTCTTTTCTGCACCATCCAACATGCTTGTCCCGGGATAGGGCTGCTGGCGCTACAGCTGTCCCCTTTTGGGTGGAGACTTTTTCACAAGTGTTTGTAAGCGAGTCCTGTGCTCTCTTTTCCTCCATCGGTTGACTGCAGTGAACTTCCTATGGCACAGAGGGCAGGGGTGGGGTCAGTGGTGTTTGGCTGCCTCAGAAACTGCATTGTGCCCTCATGGCCCTGTCACTCCAGTGTCACCCACACCATTCATGCTTGATGATGATGTTCTCTTGGGCGTGTCCGTGTGTTTGCACTGGTGGTGCAGACAACGTGCATTTCGGTGGTAACTAAGGCTGCATGGTAACCTCATGGCTCTGTTTTAGTACTAAGTTGGAGCTAGAAACTCTCAGAAGGAGAGTAATATCCACAGACTACGGCAGGGCCCTGCTCCAGACTCCTGAGGCCTCAGCATCCTTCATCAGCAGGGGGCACTCAAACTCCCATCTCCTCTGACACCGAACGTCCAGCTTGGAGTCTGTGAGGTGGGGGCCCAAGTGACCCAGAAGTCTCCACAGCAGACTAAACCCGTCCCAGAGGCTTCTCTTGCTTCCATCCCCGAGACCACCAGGTCCGGTTCTCTTGGTGAGTGAGCTGGGGAAGGGCAGCCCAACAAATACTGTTGGGTCTGAAATTTAGTTTCATGGGCCCTCTTTTCATGGTGAGACAGACCAAATACAAGACATTATCTTGCAGCCCAGGAAGGTACAGTGACAGGTCCCACGCCAGCGGACACAGAAATTTCACTGAGGTAGAAGTCCACTAAATTGTGCTCCATTTTTATGCTATGACTTACACATGTCTTACAGAAAAGTCTACAATAGTAACTATTTCTTGCTTAGTATTTCCTATTAGGATGTCTCCCGTGCAGTGGGCCAATGTATTATATTATAGAAAAGACAGCTGACTAAGATTCCTGTGAATAAATTATGATGCAGGGCTTTAATGTTGACACAACCTTAAGGTAGGACCTGGGGGAGTATTGCTGATCTATCTTTCCGGCTGAAGGAAATCTTCTCCTAGTAGTCTTTACTAGCAAACATGGAGGAAAAACTCAGTTGCAGGATAAACAGCTGCACACCAGCTAAAAGCAGATGTGTTAATTGGCCCCAGGAATGAATCTGTAGCGGCAGATGTAAGTGGAGTCACTGAAAGCTCCGTAAGCCGCTCTCCTGCCCAGCATGTGTCTGCCTTCTCCACGGCCACACAGCAAGCTGAGGGAGAGGCGGTGCAAATCTCTGTCCCTACTTTCTCCCCTTCCTGCAAATCCTCCCTGCATACACCTGGGAGAGGGGGTCTCTCACTCTTAAAGGGATATCTGTGAGCCTTTGGGAATAGACGTTCTGTCTACATTTTCACACAAATGGAGCTTAGGGAAGAATATGGAAACACTGATTGGAAATCTTTCCTTTGATGAAACTTAGAAGGAAAACACAGTTGTTACGTCAAATTTTCCTCTTCTGCTTTCAACTCCTTGATCTTTGTACTCTAAATATCTTCAAGGGGTAGCAGGCCACACACGTGGGTGTCAAAACTGCACTAATGGACAATGTCACAGAGACATTTTACCAAGAAGGAAATTATTGATTCCCCCCATGCCTGATGATCCATCAGAGCACACAAGCAACTGTTGCCTCCAACTCAAACCCAGGTTTAGAGTCTGGTTTCCCGTAAATCGATTCTTGCTCACTCATCCCCAGGCACTTACAGTGTCTCTCTCACACTCATGTGCATCCCACCCAGGAGTCTAAGGACATCAACCAGGATCTCCAGAACCAGTGCCCACAATCCAGACAGGTCCATAAGGCAGGCAAGCAAGGGGAAGGCCGAACAGCCCGAAGTGGCAATTAACGCAAACGGAAACTCATAGCCTAAAAACCAGAGGGTGGAATACAATATTCTGTGCAATGGGGACCTGAAAAAAAATAAGGCATAGCTGTGCTATATAAGGACAAAGTGTGCTTCAAGCTAAAACTGAGCAAAAGAAGCAAAGACAGTAAATATTGCTTAAGGGAGGAATTCAATAGAAAGAGATAATTATTCACATATATGCACTGAACAATGGGATACCCAACTTCATTAAAGCAGTACTACTGGACGTATGTACCAGATAAAGACACAATTATACTAAGGGAACTCAGCAACCACAGAGGGGCAGATAAACTAGACAAAAATTAACAAAGAAATATCATAGTTTAACAAGACTTTCAAACAAATGGACTTGATATCTACAGATTTTCCTACCCAACAACAGAATACACATTCTTCTCAGCAGCACATGGAACTTTTTCCAGATCAGACCACATTCAAGGCAATAAAGCATGCTTTAGTAAATGTGAAAGAATTGATATTATGCCATACTTATTATTAGATCATAACGAAACTAGAAATCAAGACAAAAGAGAAAACAGAAACTGTGGAAATACATGATATCTAAACAACATACTGCTAAACAAAAGATTACAGAAGAAACCAAAGAGGAAAAAGACAGTTTCCAGATTTAACAATAGCGCAGTACAATGTAACAGAACTTACGGGACATGCTGAAACAGTCCTGAGAGGAAGGTTTACAGCTGTGAATGCTGAACTCACAAAAACAGAGCAAGCCCAAATAAATAACCTAATGATGCATCTCAAGTTTTAGGATGAACAAGAAAAAGCCAAACCCAAAGCTGGTACACGGAAGGAAATTATAAATATCACAGCAAAAATTAATACATTTGAAACAAAACATTACAAAGAATCAGTGGGCTGTATCTTTGGTTACTTGAAAGAATAGACAAAATAGACAAAGCCTTAGCCAATCTAACCAAAAAGAGGAAAGACAAATCCCAATCAATGTAATTAGAAATAAAAAAGTGACATCACAATGGACACTGCCAAAATAAAAAAGATGATTAACAAGTACTTTGCAAGTCCTGTACATCAAAAAAATTGGAGAATTCAAAAGAAATGGCTAGGTTTCTAGATACATATCAAAACTGAACCAAGAAGATATAAATTCCTTGCATAATCCAATAACAGGCAATGAAACTGAAATATAACAAAGAGAAAACCTACCAACTAAGAAAAGCCTAGGTCTAGATGGATTCGCCACTGAATTCTAGTAAAACTTCAGGAAAAATGTAGCACCAATACTCCTCATGCACTTTAAGAAGATCAAAAGGGAAAGAATACTCCCACAGTCATTTCTGGCATCTATCATTCCCTGATTCCAAAACCAGAAATGGACTCAACTGAAAAAGAGACCCATAGATCAATCTCTTTAATTAATATAGGTACAAAAATCCTTAACAAGGTACTTGCAAGTAGAATGCAATGAATCATCATTATATATCATGATCAAGTAGGCTTGGTCCCAGGGATGCAAGGATGGTTCAACATATGCAAATCAATAAATGTAATTCACCCATGAAGAGAAACAAGGACAAAAATCACATGATCATCTCAATCTTTGGCAAAATCCAACATCCTTTCAAGATTAAAACCCTTAAGAAAATAGGTACAGAAGGACCTTATCACAATATGGTGAAAGCCACTTATGACCAGCCTACTGCAAACATCATATGAAATGGGGAGGAACTGAAAGCCTTCCTTCTAAAACCAGGAATGAGATAAGGATGTCCACTGTCGCTATTCCTGTTCAACATGTCCTCGAAACATTAGTCAGAGAAATCAGGCAAAAGAAAGAAACAAAAGGATATGTACAGGAAAGGAAGAAGTTAGAGTATCATTATTTGAAGATGACATGAACTTCTAGATAGAAGACTCAAAGGCCACCAAAAGACTCAGAATCAATAACCAAATTCTGTGACTTAGCAGGATACATATCAACACACAAAATTCAATAGCATTCCTGTACACTAATAATGAACCTGCTGAGGAAAGAAATTAGGGAAAAATACTGTTCACAGCAGCACCAAGAAAAATGAAATATTTAGAAATTAACCTAACTAAGGAAGTGAAAGATCTCCACAAGGAAAAGTACAGTACTATGAAAAAGGAAGTCAAAGAGAACATCCAAAACTGTAAATATATCCACTGTTTCTGGATAGGTAGAACTAATACGTTCAAAGTGGCCACACTTGCAAAATTGATATAAAGATTTAATGCAATCCCAATTAAAATATCAACAGCATCCTTCACAGAACTAGAGCACACAATCCAAAAATTCACGTGGAAGCAGAGGAGACCCAGAATAGCCAAGAACATCCTGAGTAACAGGAGCAAAGTGGGAGGCATCACAACCCTGGACTCGAAGTTATATTGCAAAGCTACTGTGATAAAGATAACATGGCACTGGCCCAAAAACAGACATGAAGATGAGTGGAATGGAGCAGAGGATGCAGAAACAGCCCAGTTACAGTCAGCTGCTTAATCTTTGACAAACATACACTGGAGGGAAGACAGCCTCTTTAACAAGTGGTGCTGGGAAAACTGGCTGTCCACACGCAGAAGACTGACTCTGTCTAGACCCATATCTCTCACCATGCACGAAACTAAAATCAAACTGGATCAAACAACTAAGTTATAAAACAGAAGCAGTTAACCTGCTGGAAGATAAAATAGGTAAATCTTGAAGTCATAGGCATAGGCTGGGACTTTCTGAGAAGAACCCTGGTTGCACAGGAAATAATACTAGGAATCAACAAATAGGAGGCTGAGGCAGGCAGATCACAAGTTTGAAGCCAGCGTATGGAGCTTAGTGAGACACTGCCCCCCCCCAAAAAAAAAGAAAGGAGAAAGAAAAAGGGGGGCCAGAGAATTGGTCTAGTGGTAGAGCACTTGCCTAGCATGCGTGAGGCCCTGGGTGTCACTCCTAGCTCCCGCGCCCCTGGAAAGTCATCTTTATTTCTCCATGTACAGAGAAAAACTCTTTGGTCCTGCTGGCTCCCAGTGAGGAGAGTCAGCCCTGTGCACATCTTCCTGACTAGACAAGGTGGCACCTCCGCCGGCCAAGGGCTCTGTCACTGCAGATGCCCTGTAGAGGTCAGGCAGGGTGGGCTTGTGTGGGCCAACTTTCAGCAATCAAACCTACTGAAATTTCCCCATCTGTCACCTAGCTAGTGTTTTCCCCAGTGGCCAAGCTGGTTTCCACAATATGACAAACATTAGAAATATGTGTATTAAAGAATTCAGTGTACTGGCACATTTTGTATTTTCTTACATAATACATATATTTATTTTTTTCTTCAAGTTTTTAAAACTGTTAGTGTATTATAGAACAAATTTTCTTCCCTAAAATTGGAATTTATCACTAATGTTTTACATTATTTTAATTTCCAAATGAAAGTTTCTACACAAATTTATATTGAACATATGTGAAAGTTTTATTAATACTAAGCGAAGTATATATCAGTTTGGGAAACAACAGATGTGGACAGAAAAATATTTGTATTGTTGTGTTGGTGAAATAAAGTCCTAGGCTACAAGTAGAGGTGGATGTTTATAAAATCAGAGAAACACAGACAAATTTAACATCTATACAGGTTAATACCCTAGGCAAAGAGAGTTAATCTTTTCCTAATTGTCAGACATGAACCTTTTCCCAGAAAAATGTGTAACACGCCTGGGAGCAAGTGAGA